AATGCTCTGCACTGTATTTGAATATATGAGGGCATTCCAACCAATTAAAAAAAAATGTATAATTTACAAGATGAAGGAGGAATCTCTTCTTTCCTTGGTGAGCCTGCTTGCAATTGTTTTTATTTAACAGCTCTTCCCACACTGCAGTCAATGAATCTCTAATCTCCTGGACTGAAATGTCTGACACTTCCAGAATCATTTCTTTGCTGCCTCGACTCGCAGAGCTCCACCTCCAGCAGCGTCTCAGCAGTGGGCTGGTGGTGAATCCGATAAAATGTCTGGTTTTGGGGGCTGGGAGGGAGGGATGGAAGGATGGAAGGATGAGCACGGGCTCTGCTGTGCAGTGTGTGCCTCTCAACCAGCAGCTGAAGGATCTGAGGGACAAGGCGTGGATGAGCTCTGGCTGAGTTGATTCCTTGCTGCTGAATAAATTGAGTTTATTCCATGGCTGCTCCTGCCAAACACCGACACCAAGCCCTGGTGCTCTTTGCTGTTGCATCCCTGTGGAAGGTGGAAAGGCAAGGAGGAGAAGCTCAGCTCCTGAGAGAAGTCTCCAGTCTGCTCCCTCTGGCTGCTCCAAGAAGCTGAATTTTCCCTGGAAGCTGTGCCTGGTGCTCCCAGGCCATCACACACTTCTCACTTGACTGCTCTGCTGGGAGCTTCACTTTTAGGATGAATTCTGCAAGAAATGAAATCATCAGAAACGCTGAGGATTGAGAAGAGTCCTCTCAGTGCACGAACTCATTTGTGGATAAAGTCACACTCACCTGGATTCCAGCTCCTCCAGAACGGGACTCGAGGTGTGGAGAGGATCACAGATTCATCAGTGGACTTTGGTTTTGCTTTGGTGTGCTTGTATCATGTCTGAACGTGCAAAGAACTTGGTTTTCCACAAGGAATCCAGTAAATGGCACCTCTGTAAATCAGTTACCTGCAGTGTGTTTGTCTCATTTGCTCACCCCTTTCTCCCCTTCCCACCAGGGCACCTCCTTCCCTGATGGAGTGCTTGGGGCTGGCTTCTTCCAGGGGTTTGGATGGCAGCTTGGGAAGAGGGTTGGTGGGCTCGTGGAGCACCTCACACACAAAATTTGCCTTTCCACTGAATTGTGTTCTCGCTCCACCAATGTCTACTTGTTGCATCTCACTGTTGAAGGCCCAAATAGGGAAAAAAAATCCTGAAATCTGTATTTTCTCTCCCCTGTTTGATGGATAATTCAGAAATAACAGCACAGCTTTGGTACAATTCCTGTTTTCCTTCATCCCCCTTTGCTCTTTTTTCACATGGCCTGACCTTCTGTGTGTAGTTTTGGGGGATAATGTGGATTTTGGAAGATGCTGCAGCAAAACTGTAGCAGGAGGGAAGCCCTGCTTTTGAATTAGTGGTGTCCTTTTTGGTGTCTTTGCATCAGCATCCAATTCCTTTTGGAATATATGAGCAGACAACTCAAAAATAGTGATCAAAACTCAGGAGAAACACAACATTTTGGTTCAATTGCTAAAAGTATTCAACAAGGTGCTGAAGTCCCCATATTCCTGAGGCAGCCAAATGCTCCTTTTCCTTACAGCCATGGCACACAAACTGGCACTGCAAAGGCAAATCAAATTGCTCCTGTTCCCCAGCCTCTATTTTGGGATATTTTAGGAAGAATCCTCCCCAGATTGCAGCCCACCAAAGCACAGCCTCTGTCTGTTGGGTGGAGGACTCAGTGCTGGTGTCAATTCTCCAGGAGATGGGAGGCAAGAAGAGACTCCAGAGGCAAAAGTGAAGCTTTTTTTTTATATAACTGAAGCAGTTATTCAGTTATTTCTCCTGAGGGATCTGTCCCAGGCCAGCCACGACACTGCCGTGGGACAGTGGGGGAGGTGTTTCCACATTTATCTCTTCAGCTGAGATATGAAACCCAAGGTCTCCTCTGTTCTTCAGGGACAGATGTCGAGGGAGAAGTTTTGTTCCTTTGGAACATGCTGTGTGAAACCTTCCCTTTTTTTTTTTTTTTTTTTTTTTTTTTTTTTTTTTTAAAGAAATCCCCTTTTTGGTTTCAATACCCCAAAAAGAAACAACAATGCTGTCATTCTAGAATTAAAAAAAAAAAAAAATAATTCAGAAATAAATAAAAAAAAAGACAAAATATTCTGGGAAGTGTTTGATCCTCTGCAGATTTGGAATGGATGAGGCTGCTGGAAAATATCACAGCGTTCTAAAAGATGTGGAGAAATATCCAAGTGTGTTTTGTTCACATGTGATGGCCCCTCATTATTTCATAGTGCAGCCCTTCTACAGCAACTCCATCTGAGGAGCTGCAGCCACTTCTGCAGAGACCTCAATGAACTCTCACAAGTCCCTGTGTGAGGTGGGTGTGGAAATGTTCCTGATCCTCATCCTCATCCACCCAGGAAAGAGAATCACATCCCTCATTTTTGCCATTTTTATCCTCTTTTCCTCACTCTGATTTTTCTGATAACTTGGAGTAAGATTATTGATTTTCAACCCAGCTATTGAAAGTATTTATCAAGCACTGTAGTATCAAATATAATCTGATTTAATGGGTTCCTTTAGTACTTTTTTTAATCTATTTTTTCCTCCTGTAGAGGGGAGGGGAGACTGGCTTTCTATGCTGAGGGTTTGCTTTGCAGAAAGCCAGGGATATGTTATTTTTGTGGGGTGAGGAAGTGCTGAGCACCTCTGAACATCAACCCAAACCTAAAAGCACTGATTAGAAAGTTTGGCTTAAGCATTTTGCCTGAGATGGCCGGGCTGATAATTGGATTTCAGCTTGCTGAGACCCAGTCCATTACTGCAGCTATAAATCACCGTGCTGCAATCACTCCTCTAATGCACCCTCAGTTTTCAAATATTTCCTTTACAGCCTTTACAGACACCTCCAGCACAGGGAATGGAGCAGTGGGGGGATAAATCTGTGCCCCCAGCAGCTCTGAGTGCACTGGAAATTGTGATTCCCACCCTCCAAGCAGTTTTTGGGTGGTTTTGGGTGGTTTTGGATGCTTGGAGCTGAGTGTGCTACATTTGGCAGCTTGCACAGCTTTTAAGGAAGATTTTCCTCTGTTAACTCACCTTAGTCAGAAGAAAAGTCACACAGAAAAAATTGCCCAGGCAAATCTTGGCTCAATCAAGACTTCTTGAGATGCTCAGGTTGTTTTGACCTCAAAAGCTGCAGAAGTCCTGCTTCCTAATTAATTTAATTTATTAAACAGATCGTGATAAACCCCTCATTTTGCACATATTTCCCTCTATCATTAAATTCTGCCTCACAGACAGCCAGGCCTCATGGTAGATAAATAGAGCAGCAGTGAGGTGGGTCTGGGAATATCAGGGAATTCCCTGGAATAAAGCACAGGGTTTGCTGTGGAAAGCAGTGGCTCTTTTGGGATCATTTCACAGCTCCATCTCCACCACTGACTGCAGAATTACCTTCATGGGCTTTTGTATTTCATGTAAATCTTGCCAGGAGGCCCAGGAAAGCCCAGCCCAGAGGGGTTTGGAGCTGCAAGTGGGGGATTAACCAGGGAGGGCAATTCCATTGGGGAATTTCTGATTTTGATAGCAGCCTGCCCCTATCATGTGGCCCAGAATATCCTTTCATATCCTTTCCTTTCAGCTTTTCCCTGCTTGCTGCTAAAACAGAAGACAAAGGTAACATCCCTCTGGTGAACCCCCTCCCTCCCCTCACAATTAGCAATATCTAAGCAGTTAATCTCTGAAAACCTCAGCACTGGTGGTGCCTCAATGTTTCTTCCATAAAGCAAATCATTTTTACTTCTAGAGGAGATGCAAAAATAGAGATGTTTAGAAGAATGAGCACTTAAACCTGCTCCTTTCTATTTTTTTAAATGAATCTCTTTCTAAATTTTGGCTTTTTCTCTCCACCTGCTGCCTTCAGAGCCTTGCCTTGCTCCTAAGAGCAGGACTTTGGTGGATTCAAAACCCACACATGCACTGGAAGGAATTCTTTCCTAAGCTGACCCTAATGTGATTGTCAGGATTGCACCAGGCATCATTTTGACCCAGGGACAGTAAGATCAGATGTTAAAACACTGAACCAAGAGCCCAGCAGCAGGAGGTCTCGTTCCTGCTGGGATCAGTCCAGCCAGCTCTCCTCGACATTTTTTATCCATATCAAGAGGAAGTTTGGAGCTAGATTTAATCTGTTTCCCAGAAGCTGCTGATGCTTTCATGTGAAATGAAGAGTTTGCTGTCAAGACAGCAACAAATTTTTGGAGCCATCGTGGCCCTTTCCCTGATTTGTGTGGAACTGAACCAGTTTGGTGTAGGATGGCCAGAATGGTTCAAAATACACTTCTCGAATTCCCTTCCCACCTAAACACGCCCTCAGCCCCTGCCCCGCTTAGGAACACAAGAAAAGGAGAATTAGGCCACACCTGAGCACTCAGTGCTCCTAAAGTGACCCAGCTGAGTAAACCAAAGGGATTGCAACAAGCCTTTCATCTCCTAATGGGATCCCTTTGTGTTGATTTTAGCACTTTCTCCTCTTGGCTGAATTAAAGAATCCACTACCCTAACACGAACCTTTTATTGTTGTGCCACGTTATTCATGAATTATTCCAGTTTCAGGGTTATTTTTGCTTTGGCGTGGAGCCTTGTCCTAAAATATTTGTCAAACAAAAGACAGGAGCATCTTTTTTTTTTTTTTTCCACATCCTGTCTGTCTGTCTGGAGCTGTGGGTCCGAGCAGCTTCCAGCTTGGAGGATCCACCTGATAATTTATGAGGATGGGATGGTGTGAATCAAGAACTTGGCATGCAGAGACTTAAATGTGTTCTAATCCCGCTCCTCATAAATTGTCCTTGCTGAGCCATCCCTACAGAATGTGGGAACACCAAAATCCGTGCCCTGAGTCTCTTTAAACTGCAGGCAAAATTTGGGCTTGGTTTTTCCTGCCAGCCTCTCTCTCTCTCTCAGAAGACTCAGCAGAGGTGTCAAGGACTTGGTCTCAGCTTTGATGAATAAAAATCTTGTGACATTTCTGTTAAAAGAACAGAACACAGAGGTGCCATCAGAACCATGTGAGAAGGGAAATTCCCCTTCCCCCTCAGTAAAAAAAAACGGATCAGGCCATCTAATATTGCACAAACTGACACCTCTTTCCTAAAAATAGCTGTCTGCACATTCAGTCAATGGGCTAATCCAATTGCCTGAACATTCTTGGGTGCTTTATCATTCAAATGGTAATAAATCACAACACTGGAACCAAGAACATGCGGGGACCAGATGAAATCAGGGTGACATGATGTCATTGAGCTGAAAATTCAATGCATGCCCTGTTTTGTCTTAAAAAGTTGGCTTGAAGGTCTCTTTCAAATTAGGGGGATTTTCCAAAAATCCCAGCCCCTGTCACATTTTGATTCACTATTTCTTCCCTTCATTTATTTTGAATAATGAGCACATGGGGCCTGCCTGTAAATCCATGGAACTCTGTTGAAAAATTACTATTGAATCCAGATTTTGGACCTGCCTGATCGGGAATTTTGCCGTAAAATATGGAAGAAAAACTATCATGCATATTTTAGGGCAGCTGAACTAACACAGTAATGCTCCCATGAGCTCCTCAGGAATATGCTTCCACAAACTAATACTCACCATTGTTCAAAAAAATTTTGTTAGATTTAGTTTCCCCTGGTTTCTTTCTAAATAAAAAGTAATGGGATAAACCAGTTTTAACCCTCCTAAGCAGCCCCTTGTTCCTCAGAGCAACATTCCCCTTGACCACCTTAATGAATTCCCTCCTCTCCTTGGTTTTATGCATGTTTCAGATATTTATACAAGATGTATGAACATAAAAGGATTATTCATAACATTATTGTTTCTGAAACAGGGGACTAAAGCTAAACATAATCTGGTTCAATCCCCAGCTGATATAAATATTCCTGCTCTCCTGGAAGTTGCTGGATGCTGTGCTCCCAGTCAGGAATTGCTTCCTGCAGGGATGGGGAGAGGGAGAGCACTGGGGAAAAGTGGTGGAAACAAAACCAGGTCGCCTGTGGATGGGAATTCATCCCAGAGTTTGGCTCTGCTGCCAGAGGGGAAGGTGTGATGGGGCTGTGGCTCTGCTCACAGGTAAAGGTGGGGTGGAAATGCAGCAGCACAGAAATGAGCCTGACCCTGGATAAGAACCCAGAGCCCTTACACAGCTCCATCCCAGGAATTGCAAATTATGTGGTTCAGCTCCTTCCTTCTCCTGCATCTCCTGCCCTGCACTGCTGTGCACTTCAGCCCTGTCCAGTTCCAAATTTAAATTTATTGCTGCAGGGTTTCAGTGACCAAGGGAAGCCCCTGGGGCTGGTGCAGGCTGGGGATGGGCAGAGCTGGGATGTAGGGATGGGGAATTTCCCATCTGACTCCTTGTCCCCAGTGTAAATGGGAGGTGGAGGGAGGGAGTGACCTGATGAGAAAGATGATGAGGATGGAAGGGGAAACTGAAGGAGAAAAATGTGGGGAAGGGGGAAAATAAACCAGGAAGGCTGTGTCCCACTATAAACCCTGTGAAAGGGAAGGTGCTGGCCCAGCATCAGCCGCTGGGAGAGGTCACTGCCCCAGTGCAGGACACTGGAGTGTCCCTGGGCATGGAACAGGTCACTGCAGGGCACTTCCAAAGGAGAGCAGAGCTCACCTCCCTCACCTGCAGCTGCCCAGCCCTGCTGCAGGATGCAGCCCTGCCTCCCCCTGGGCTGCTCAACAACCCCCATGCACCCTAAACCGTCCTTTTTAACCCCAAACTGACACGTGGTAGTGCAGGCAGCAGTGCTGGCATATTTGGTGGGAGATGCCACCCCTATTCCCCTCCACTGGAAGCTGCAATGAGCAGCAGCTGCTGAAAATAGCCTTGGAGAGAAGCTCTGCTGCAGTCAGAGCACACCAGAAGAGCTCAGTGTTCCACCCTCCTTTCCTCACGTACTTCAGAAAAGTTAATTAAAGGAGGCTGGGATCTGCAAAGTGAGAAGCACCACTGCCAAAGCAGCTCCTCCATGTTCCTTTTATTCCTCCTCTGACCTGAACACAAGCACAGACCTCATTCCTGCTCCTTCCATGCCACATTTCCACAAACTTAATGCTTACAATGTGGGAAGCAGCAGGAGATTATGGGATGCTCAGATAAGATGGATCTAATGGCTGAGTTGCAGTTTATAGGGTAAGTACAATCATTATTTTACCCCCCCCCCCCCCCTTTTGCAGGCTCAGGGAAATTGAATTATTTACCCCAAATTTCACATGAAGTCATTCAGAGAGTGAGGGAATTGGCCAAGGTAATAACATGTGCAGAGTTGCTGTGATGAAGAGAATATGGCATTGAGGCCAGTGCACCTTCTTTTCCTGCACCAGATGGGTGTTCATGGCTGTCACCTTGTTGTGGAAGAGATTTTCCCTCTCCCATCCTCTGAAGTCCCAGCCAGTTATGATGGACTGAAGCAGCAGAGACAAAATCTTTAACAAATGGGGCCAGGAAGGAAACAGCTTTAATTCCTTCGGCAGAAATCCTCTCTGATGAGCAGTGGTTTACATGACTACACACAGACAAGAACCCTCTGGGCTTTTTTTTTTTAAGTCTTGTGGTCTTCATATTTACAGGAGAAAAATGCCAAGAAATATCAAAGCTGTATCTTGTCTGGCTTTGTTAGCATGATTCCCCAGCCTGCAGAGCTGGTTCTTTTCATGGGACATGCAGGAACCCCTCACCCCTCTTTTCCCATCTGTTTCCAGTGAGGACCATCCAAGCTTGGCACAGAGCTCTCAGTGAGGCCTTCAGCCTCTGGCCTGGCAGCTGAAAGTCACCGTGGCCCTTTCATGCTTCAGTTCCTGGTAGGAAGTTTGGTTTTCATGCTTTACTATGGTTTTCCTCCCAACTTTGATCTTCACTCTTGGGAGTCTCATTTACACTCAGCTGCATCCTCATCCCTGGCCTTAATCTTTCATAGCGGAGTGCCCTACTTATCAAAGTGTGACAGCTCTCCTAACCCCCACCCACAGCCCAGAGGAGATGCAGGAGCCTCTCCAACTGTTAGGAAAACAGATAAGTTAAATTGGCTAAGCTGCTTCTTGTCATACTCCAAATATTTGGTCTCCCTTGCCAGCTTGAGGCTTATGGATTAAGGCCTTCGGTTCTCCATCAAGAGCCCCCAAATCCAGAGCGTCTGAGGGGTGTTTTTCAGAGTGTTTCCATGGATAACTGGTTAATTTTGGCTCATCATCTTGCTGGACACTGCTTTATTCTTGAGTTATAGAATTATAGCATGTCCTGAGTTGGGGTTATTCTTGAATTATAGAATTATTGGATGTCCTGAGTTGGGAGGGACCCACAGGGATCATCAAATCCCACCTTGTCCAAATGCTCCGGAGCTCTGGCAGCTCATTCCCCATTCCCTGGTGGGAATGCTCAGTGCCCCACCACCCTCTGGGGAAAGAACCTTTTCCAAACACCCAACAAAACATCCCCTGATACCCCTCCCAGCCATTCCCTCAGGTTGTGTCCCTGGTCAGAGAGAGCAGAGATTTGAGGGCCACCTCAGAGATGGAGAATTCCCATGTTCTCACTGTGTCAGCAGAGCCAGCAGTGCCATGGTTTGGGATGTGGTGCACGGGTAACCAACCTGCCCTCAGCCCTGCAGAGCAGGAGGAAATCTCCTCCTGCCTCTGTGCTCCTGAAGAATCCCTCAGGAGGAAAAAGAGTGGTTAGAGGTTGATGAGAAATGCCTTTTTTTGGGGGAAAAAAAAAAAAATCTGAGAGGTTCTTTTATTGGAGAGAACAGAAGGCTGAAAGTGAAACTTGAAAATGGCATCAAAGGGAGAAGCAGAGCTGGGAGCACACAGTTCTCAGTGTCCACTGGAGGTGATGCCCACCAGACAGCTCTGGCATTCTTCTCAAAGAGAAAAGCTCTGGTGTGCCAGCTCCATCTGACAGAGGGGATCTGCTGGGCTGCAGGCTGTAATCCATTTTGCCTGCGTTTGCTGGCCTGCTGTGGGTTGGTGACAGGTTTTTTCCCCTCAGCTTCCTCCTCAGCAGTCCATTTAGAAGTGGCTCATATTTTGTTATTACCTCTGATGGTTTTGCAAATGACCGTATCTAGGAGTTAACTCTCATTTATGATCTCCTCAGATGATAAAGTGGCTCTTTTAAGAGTCCTGTTGCTTGCCAAAAACCAATTATTGCAAAAGTCTGAAGCCATTTCTGAAATAATTTATTGGGCAACTGCACTCAGAGCAAGAAGCTCTCATTTAATACCAGTATTTAAATACATTTTAATGTACCCATAACCAGAAAACCCAGATGCCATAGATATAAGCTTAGCAATATCTTTCTCTCCAAAAGAGCGGTTTTGCCCAGTCCTTATTAAATATTTTGTTCATCCCTGAGGCAGATTTCAGGAAGGACACTTGGAGAAGTTTGCTGAGCCAAGGGATCTCCACGAGGAGGACAGACGGGTGCAAAGACATCAAAGCTTCTCCTGCCAGTGTCCAGGGCTTCCCAAAGGAGCTGGCTGGGCTCTGGAAGCTGTGCTGCCATATGGGGATCCATAAACCCCATATGCTGGTGTCGGAACTCAAAATGTCCCTCAGACATTTTTGGATGTTCTGGGCCCTGGTCAGAAGCATTTGAGACCCTGGCAGGCAGCTGGAAACAGCTGTGATTTTGGGTTTGAACCATGGAACGATTTACCAACCTTGCAGGAAGAACAAGAAGTCACAAAAGTTTAGATGTTATAGTAGAAGTAGTCACAAAGTAGAGGGAAGAATTTTTGAGTGTTGTACAGGGGGTTTTGGTTTTGTACATGGGGGTCAGAGGTTTAAGATGGAGGGATCTGGGCCTGCCCTGTCCTCCCTCTTTCTTCTTCCTCACCTCCATGTTCTTGGTGATGTTGGCACTCACAGATTGGTTTAGAGTAGAAAAGCACCATTTAATATAGGTAATAGGCATTGGGGAAAAACTGTACCCATGGAACACGTAATGTACCATATAAAAGACAGCAGCAGCCCTGGGTGGGGAGAGGAGAAGCAGTCGGGAGTCAGAGAGGATGTCAGGGTGTGTGTGTGCCTCTGCCTGAGCTGTGAGCAAACCACAGCAGCCCCAGGAGAAAATCTTTTAGATAACTTGCAATAAACTGCCTTGAGACCGAACAGCAGAGACTGCTGAGCCTTTCTTTGGAAGCACAGCTTGGAGGAGAGACTTTTCCACCACACGGAGCCACCCCCGGCCCAGGGCAGCTGGAGCGGGTTCAGCCCCACAGCTGAGGGGTGCAGGACCGTCCATCCCCATGGACGTGGAAGGAAGCTTTGCACCTTCCCAGGACAGTTCTTACAGGGGCTGCCTGTGAGGTCACACCGTGCAGGGTGGGTTTGGGCCCAGCTGCAAAATTCATTTATTATCTAAAGACGTGTTGTGCTATTTCACATTTGTAACTCATCCTCTCTCCCTGAACACCGAGTCATTCACAAAGAGGAAAGCCTTGCTGAGTTATTTCCTTTCTGTGAGTCTCTCAGATTAAGAATTATTTGAGCTTTTATTTCTTTAATTTTTTTTGTATTATTTTTATTTTAAATCACATGAGTTGTGTGACTCACGAGGGCTGTAGGTGGTATTTGTTTTGGTGTCTGGAGCCCCAGCTTGTCTTTGTCCGGAGATTGATACAACATTGGTTTTGGCCGGGAGCAGGGGAGGAGAAAGGACATCACTTAGCAGATACTTAAAATGTGGTCAGGCTCTGAAAAGCGACTCTTAGAAATGACATTGTGGTTTTCCATATTTATTTTCTCTCAACAGCTTCCAGGAACAATCTGCTGAGCTCACAGATCCAAAGGTGATTTGTTGAGCTGTCACCTCTCCGTGGAGGGGTTTGAAAACCCCGCTCTTTTCCAGGGGCCTCTTCCATCACCACTGTTAATCAGGATTCCAGGACTGGAAACCGCCTGACACGCTGCTGATGGATGCACAAGGCTGAGTAAACTCCAGCTCTTGCTCTGCCACTGCTTATCAGGGATAAGAAGGAGCCATAATTCAGCCTCAGCTTGAGTTAACACAGAGGTGCACGGAAGGAAGATTAAAAAGCAGGATGGTTTAGTGGCTTAAGACAGCTCTGAGGCCTTAATTCAGTCCCAAATTTAAAATAATCATGGTGGCTGTGCTCTATGCCTCACCCCACTATGAGAAAAGCAGTGTAGAATTAGTCAAAATTAATATGTAGATGACATTGTTAAAGATGATGTCTTTAAAATGATGTCTTTGGTCTTTTTTGACCAAAGCAGGTAGAAGAACTGGACAAAGCAGGACACCGTTTCAAGGAACATTTCCCAAATGGTTTTGATGGTTCTGCCATGAGATTTCCCAAATGGTGATAGACACCTGTGCTGCATGGTGGGAAAAGTAGAACTGATGTGTGGTACCTGGAGAAAGTCTCTAGTGTGTTACCCAAATCTCCTCATTTGTGGGAATTAGCAGCTCAAATAAAGCAGAACTCGTTTTCTTCCTTTCTCACAACGCACAAACAGGAGAATGCTGAGAGGATAGAAAAGGAAATAGGAAAAAAAAAGGAAATAATAGAAAAAGGAAATTTTAAAACCTTAAATAATAAAAAACCCTCAATACAAAAACCCTTTTTGCATTGGACGAAACCAATTTGGGCGTTACCAGATCATCAGGAGTAACACCTTCCCATAGTATAAATGCAGCTGGTGACAAATTCTAGTGCAGATTCCTGTTGCCTCTCAAAACCTGAATGGAAAAGTAGGAATAAGCCAACTTTCAAAGGAAGGGTTTGGAAACAGCTTGCAATAAACACAAGTTTGTAATTGCCCTGGTGACCACTTGCTTGGATGGAGACTGGAGGGGCAGCCAGATCATTCCTCCAACCCCAAAAAACAAAATGTTACTTCCTGATACCTGTGCAGGAGCTCAGCTGGAAGGCGGAGATGATCCAGCTCCAAAACTTTGTGTAAGTGTGTGAATTGCCACATTCCCTCCCAAAACACCCAGAGCTAATTTGTCCATGTGGAAGGAAGCTGCTGCTGCTGCCAGAGCCAGCAGGGGCTCCTCTCCTGGCTGCCACGCAGACACAGGCGTGGGGTAAAAATAAATCAGCACAACTGAAACGTCCTGGGCTTGCCATGGCAAAAAACCCAATCACACAAGTGATGATACTGAGAAAAATCACTTCTTTCTTCCATGGAAAATATTCAAAGGCGGTCGAGATGCCAAAAAATTAAGTCATTCTTTTATAACCCATTAGACTATAGAGAAAAAGGAGGGATGATCACTTCCTTTAGACACCTTGAAAATCAGGTAACTGACTTGCCCATGTAAAAACACGCATAGGTTATGAATTTTTATTTCCAGAACATGTCATCTCTATGACTGACACGCTCAGAGTATAATTTTCCTGTGCAAAGGTGGAGTAATTTTGGTTAGGCAACATTTATTGCTTTGCATTCTTTTTTAATTGAGTTAACTACGTTTTAAATCAATGTTTTCAGACAAAGCTCATTGGGAAGAAATTTGGCCTAATGAGACCTGAAGCTGTGAGCCAGGAATCCAAAGTCCTTTTTTCAAGTGCTGTTAAAGCCTGGTCCAAGCTGAAGGAGGAGGAGAGAGTCCCGTGGACTCTTCAAAGGGTCTGACTCAGGCAGCTTTTTCTTTGTGGCGGTTTCCTCATCTTCAAACTTGGCAGAAATGCCAATTTCTGAGGTACAGGAGCCTAATGATTCACCCACACAGCGCAAGGATCGCGGGGAGTTTCGCCTGAGGCACTGCAGAGGAATTACAGGAGGGTTATTTTATCAACAGCTCTTCCACAAAACTGCAGGAGTGAAGTTCAATCTGCCAGCCCAGGAGGTTAGGGAGAGAAGACATCCGTAAAAATCTCTGGAGGGAGTGGAAGAGGGTGAAACACGAATATTGTGAGGTCTCAGGTTACGGGGCTGAGGAAATTTGCTGCAGGTTTAGTTCCTGGGGCTTGGGCAGGCAGAGTTTTTGGCTCAACTGGGCATATTTTGAGTTTGTAAAGCCATTTACACTGTGCATCTACAGCTTAAACTTGGCAGTTTGGGTATTTTTTTTAAACCCAAGGCTTGTGTTTGTGTTGATTCTGTTTGGGTTGAATTTATGGGTACAAAGGAGAGACTTTCAGCTCATCTCCATAAAGCCAAGCTGAACCAAGCCCAGATCCAGCCATCCTGGTGTTTAAATTCGATGCCAGGTTGGAGTTGGTGAACTGTCCCTCCTTGAGCTCTTCTGCTTTCAACTTTTGGCTGAATGTCCCCAGCTTTGTCCCTGTGAGACAAAACCAATTCCTGTGGGGATGGCTCTGATCCTTTCCCAGGCCCAGGTGAGGCCATTGGGTAAATCCTTGGGGAATTTTTGGCTTGATGGGATCCTATTTATCCATGGGATCCTATTTTATCCAGAAATGAGTGTTGCATCCCCACCCTCATTCAGGGTGGAACTGGGAGAGCAAAGCTGCAGAGCCACCTCTTGTACAGGTGAGTGCCCCAAAAAGTACTTTTTAAAGGTTTTTTTATATCCCCCCCCACCCCTCCAGATATCTGGAACAAAGAGAACAGTGGGGAAAACAGGGCTGGAAGCTTTATTGACAAATTATAGCTGCAACTGCAACCCAGACACACACAGCGAGCACAGATTACAGTAATTTTAATTGCTTGTAATGCAGCCCCCTCTCCCCCTCCTTGCTCTCTCCTTCCTCCTCCTCCTGTGCTCCCTCTCCCCCCGCCAGTCCCCCCCCCCAGAGTTAATCTGTCGCTCGATTCTCAGCTTTTCTTTTGCTTCTGGTTTCATTTTCAGATGACAAAATTCAAGGCACACAGCTCTGCTGTCTGGTTGCCCTGGTAACGGCAGCCTATTATCGTACCTTGTCATTCATCAAGAAAGAATTGCACTTGACAGAGATAGACCAAAATGCCTGCAGTCTGCAGCATTAAAAAAAAAAAAAAAAAAGGGAAAAAAAGAGAAAAAAACTGTTTTCTTCCAACTATGTAGAAAGCCTTTAATGCCTATTTAGCTACATGTTTTATTTAACATTGCTTATTATCCATTAAAGTGATTGTCGAAACTTGTAGAAATAGATATTCCCTCCTCAAAATTAGATTTAATTTGTCATTCTGCCCAGCTTTCAAACCCTCCTAGGCTGGTGCACAATATAAAGGAAATGGTTAAATGATAAACGTTTTGCATGTTGGATTGGCCAAGTGACCACACAAATGCTGCCTTTCTGCTTAATTATGGCTTGTGTTGGGCAGCTTTTCCTGCTCTCTTTATGGAGCTTCAAAAATAATTAGCAGGGTATGTAATAAATAATTGAATTTTATCTTTAATTAATCCTGCAAGTGTTATGGACTACAGATAAGTGGATGGC